TTATCACATAACAACACTAAATGAGCTAGTATGGGACAGATTTCGGCTTCTAAGAGCTCAACCACTCAAAAAGCTATGAACTTGGGGACCAAAAACCCTAAAACTTCTCTCTACAAAGCATGTACAGAAAAGATGCAAAGCTTGAAGCTTTTTACCTCAAAAGGGATCTCCAACCACTGTAGAACTCAGATCTACTCTTGCTCTTCCACCTCTAGCTCCAACAATGGCTTCCTCTTCTCCTTCTTCACCTCAAAAGGTACCTTCAAGCTCAAGAACACACACACAAGCTTATACATGGATTTATGCAATCTAAGGGCTCACTCAAAGGGGTATGGGGGTTGGGGTAAGGGACTAAACGTTCCTTTTATAGTGCACAAGCCAGAATTTAGGTTTTGCACCTTGACACATTACGCCCATCGTAACCATGGGTACGCCCAGCGTACCCGGGCGAGTCCGCGTTCAAAATAAGCGCGTGAGTACGCGCGGCGTACGCCTCATTATGCCCAGCGTACTCACAACCAACACACAACCTTAAGGACTCGTCTTGCAAACTCTCTCAAAATAAAAGGGTCATAAGGCTTAGCTAAATTTCAGGCTGTTACAAGGTAATACGGGTTTCGGTTCAGTTATTAACCCAAAAAAACCGAAATAACATATATACTATTCTTTTAAACTGAAATGACCTGAATAACCCAAATAAATAGAAATAATCTAAATAACTCAAATAAATAAATACTATATTTAGTTCAAGAAAAAAAAATATTAAAGATTAATAATTCATATTTCAAAAATCCATAATCCATATTTAAACATTAAACATTTAACATCTAAATTAAAATATTAATCTTAAGTTTTTTCCAAAATAACAATATCCAAATACAAATTTCAGAAAATACAAATTAACTTCCATTGCACAATAATCATGATATTTAGTAATAATTCAATAAAAATGAAAAGCAATATAAACATAAAATTAAGAAAATAAATGTTTAGGACCAAAAATAACAAAAATAAAAAATATTTCAGCACAAACCAAAGAACAATAACCATTTTTATTGTAGTTTACTCTAAATAAAATTATGTTTTTTCTTACATTACTCCTATTAAAACAAAGGCTCATCACACAAAAAAAGAAAGGAAAAAAATGAAAGGAAAAAAATGAAATTAATATTACACGATGACCATCTTTCAATATTTACTTCTGCATTTATAAATTGTTTCTTGTTTGAATTTTTAAAAATTTCAATTACAATCAATTTCCATTGTTAGTAGAGTGGGTGTATTTATATGTTACTAGGTTATAACCCGTGTACTACACGGGGTGAATATCTAAAACAATTTTAATAAGTTAATAGACGTTACAATTTATTATACATTTGCAAAATAGCAATATATTTACATTAACTTGCTAATTTGAATACCTTTCTTTTATGTTTTGTTATTTAATCATTGTAATAAAGTTCCATAACACATGAAAAATATTTTAAAGTAGAATCCTTACGATAACCCTTACCCAAGTGAGGGAAGAAAGTGATGTATGATACCAATATACCAACCAACATTGCAAAACATTGAAAATGAATACAGTCGTAAGAAAATAGAAAATGTCACTGTCATCACTACTTCATACAACTTCGTATGGACATCAAATTTACTTTTTAAGGCATTGTACCTTCAACATCATGTACAAACCTCTAATACATCAGTTGATGATCTGATTTATTTGTTGTAATGACAAAAGTACGTAAGTCTAAAGAAAATTTGTTTTCCTCTCCAATTGTAAAATCTACAAAATAGGTTATGAGCAAAACATGTGTTATTTGAGGTATAAATCAAAATAAATCTGATCAGGTGGGTCCATAAAATATATATTTCAATTATTTTCAAAGTTTACACAAGTGATTTGATAAGTTTAGATACAAATGATTTATTATAATTTATTAAATACTATTAAAAAACATTAATAATCTTATATTTAATATAAATATATCTAAAAGAATTAAAAGTATTAAAATATAATTAGAAGAAGTTCCCTAGTTTATTTGAAGACATGCATCTGTTTATATTAATATGATACCACAAGGGCAAGTTTTAAAAGTTAGAAGCACTTAAGAAGAGTTGCAATTGCAATTAAACTTAAAATAACTTTTTAGTTTTCCAACATTAAAAGGGATCGAAGGAACTTGTAGGAAAGCTTTGATGTAATTTGTAGGAAAAGGACTGATTTTTGGATGTAAGGTTGCATAAGTGGTGGGGATATGTTTGGATCATTTTAAACAGTATGGAAAATGACCGAACTTTGTCTTCCATAAAGGATCTTTCTAATACATACTACTTTATTATGTGCATTTTTCTGTTGAAATGTGTTGATGTAAATTCTTTAACTAAAATAAACAAAGAATGACAACATATGGTCCTTTAAGCTTCATTATCTTTTGTAACTGGTACTCTGGTGTTGATTAGTTTTCAATGTTTATCAACTGACCTGCAATTGCAAAACAACCTCAAAAGTTAACACTTATTTTAATCATCACAACTACATATTTATATTTCTTTACCGGTAATATCAATGTATAGCTTGAAATTTGTAAAATGGCATACAAGTATCATTTTACATATATTGCTATAATAGGAGAAAAAATGCAAGTATGCTTTACTATGTGTAAGTGATTAGAAGTAGGTTGCTATTAGGTGTAAAGAGATTTAAGTAGCTTGCTAATATAAGTTTGTTTATACATTGTTATTATTATTATTATTAAACAATACAAGTATGTTGCGATTATAGAACTCATACCCGAAGTGCACTTCACCTGGATAGAAATTACATGAAATGATTTCTTAATTAAGTATAAAAAACCAATGACTAACCTCTAGTTCTTCACGATTCAAGATTCATATATGATAATACCAAAACCCATAGGTACTTATATAATTTCATGGTAATCAGGGAGCTATATATATAAAATTTCCCATATCAATGGGTAATTCTAAACAAGAAACTTATATTTTTTAAACAAAGTATCGTAGCAAGATCAAGTGGCTCATGGAATACTGTGAGAGTGTCTTTCATGTAGATGAATAAGACATACATAAAGAGATATATTAATCGATAAATGGTATGATAATAAGAAGAAATAAGCTATCGTTTCTTCAAAGTGAAATAAAAGGCGTACTTTTAAAACTAAAAGTCAGGTAGTATTAGCAAACAATATAAGGGCCAGATGCCAAGTACATGTGAAATGAAATAATTACAAAGAATGTTAACCATTAAATTTGAACATGGGTTTTACAAAGAGGTAGGATTTAGGAATAAAAAAGATGCCGACAGTAAGTCCACATTCCAACACTTATGATTGAAGCTGCTCGAATTTGAATCCCTTGTCAAATGTCAATACCTTATACCAAATTCATAGAAATGCTGGAATTTATATAATTTGCTCAAAATTGAAATCTGGAAGATCTTGAATAGAGTTGCAGATTCATAAAAACTTTTATATATATATATATATATATATATATATATATATATATATATATATATATATATATATTCCTGATAACATGTTTATTCTCCATGGTGATTATTAGGGTTTGAGAGGCACAAAGATAGAGAGGAATCGAATGTGGACTGACCTCGATTAGAACTAAATCTGAAATTAAATTTCTTTAAGGATCTTAGGACCATTACACCAAGTGAATTGGCCCTTTCTACGAACCTTAACACATCTTTGATCTGCAAATTGGTGGATAAGAAGCAAAATATCTAAGTATACGATCATGGAAGGGAGATGTAAAAAAGACGATTAAAACTGCAGGCGGCACATAATCTAAATAAATAAAAACCCTATGTTAGGAGAGATGTATGGAAGGGATTTGATTCCTGATTTTTTTGCTGATTGAGCGGTGATTTGAGGAAAATCAGGAGACATATGAAGACCAAAAATTTTATTTTGAGCGGGAAAAAGAAAGGAGCTTGTTAACAAAAAGAGACACGTGGATAAAAGATGGTTTAGAAAAGAGACAAGTGGCATGTTTAAGAGGCTTTTATTAGATAGGGATTAGATAGGGAGATTACTATATTATTTGGAATTTCATCTTGATATTTGAGTAAGCTTTGTTTGTTTGCAACAATCAATTTGTTTCAAATATTTTTTTATCAATTTTGCATTTCAAGATTAATAGATTGATTTGGGTTTTTTTTTTTAAAAATAACCATTTCAATAAGTAAATAATAAACTGGAAGCTGCTAACAACGGATCAAGTGACTAATCAATTTTCGGGTAGGTCATTTTGGCCCGATTAAACCATTATTCGGGTAATCCGAATCGAATAACCCAAGAACCGCATAAGCCTAAATACATATCCGAGCACCAACTTGTATGACTTAATCGAATTTTCGATCCAAATGTTCATCCCTCGAGTCTACGTCCGACACTCCATAACTCAACACATCTCTGTTTTTAGTAAATGAGCCAATCATCGAGCCCTAAAATTTTTGAGGCCTTGTGCAGTCACACTCCCTCCACATCCTTAGGGTCATCATATTTTTTACCGGAAGCCTACTCTATCCACCCTTATAAAATAATAAGAAACATTTTCGTTTAGCACCTTTAATGTCCGCTCTTAGGTTGGAAAAGACAATCACTCGTTCTTAAAACCTAATTTTGTTAATAAGTTGTTCCATATGTTTCTCACATCTTAAACGAGTGTGTCGACGATAAACCTAACAAGTTCATCATTTGTGATGGTAAAATTGATAAAAATAATGGAATAATAATTCTCGTGTTTTTTTTTTCAAATACATAGATGACTATTGTGAAATGTAATAATGTTTGTCTATGTTTTTAGTTATTTAGCTAAATCAACATATAGTTAAACTATAATCATTTTGTAAGACATGTTTAAGAAAATAAAACGTTACCTTTGAAAAGCACTTTGCTAAAGAATCTCATAATATATGATAACACATAATAACACCCCACGACTCACAACCCCAAAAGGGGCACCTTTGTCAAAGGTTTCCTACCGTTAATGTCTACTGCACAAACTCCCACACCCCATTGTCGTCTCCTTCCCCCTCCTTATTTTTCAAATATATACCTCCAACGGATACCTGCAACATCAAAACCCATTATCAACACCATCTCTTTTCTTCTAATTCTTCCACTCAAACAATTCAATGGACTCACCACCACCATACACCACCCCGCACTCCGCCCCACAAACACGCACCAAATCGGCATCACGTCTGGCTCGAACTAGCGGCCAAGAACCACCACCGATTCTCTCTCTTGATTTAGTCTCTTACTCACCTAAGAACACTCTTTCTCCAAAACCCAAAACCCCTCTCTCTCTTCACGATCTCCTCCTCCTTTCTCCTTCCCCCGCCAAGAGATCAAAAACCAGACTCGATGTCTCAGAGGAGGTCGCCGACCTATATGGGTCTCGTCGCCGCTGCAAAAACCGATTTGCTAATATCGGTTCACCTAGAAACACTAGAAGATCCAGGAGGCGAACAGAGGAGATTCGAGAGGATAAAGATCTGATTGCTGTTGATGAGTCGATCGTTGTTAACAACAAACCAAAGAAAAGGAGGCATAGTGGTAGATCGAAGAAGGAGAAATCGATTTCTTGCCCTTCCATTCCATCCCCAAGTAAGAAAAAACATATTTATCTTGCTTCACTTCTGAAACTGATGTAGGGTTCTATTGATTTCCTTATCATCTTGATTGTATTGTTATTGCAGAAGGAAACGATGAGGATTACGGGTACAATTTCGATCGAATCGGATTCCTGATAAATGATTTGATAATGTGGAATGACGTCGCAAAATCAACACTCTGGTTTGGGTTTGGTTCACTCTGTTTCTTATCTTCATGTTTCACAACAGGCATTAGCTTTAGGTAAGTCAAGCTCTTCTCCCCCTTTCGAATTTTACAAACTTTGCAACATCTCACTGATTTGATCTTCGTTTTCAGCATGCTTTCTTTGATATCTCACCTGGGCCTTCTGTGTTTGGGCGTTTCATTTTTCTCAAATTCCATTGCCCGAAGCTCAGAAAACAAGAGAAAGCTTAAGCTTAAAGAAGACGACATTCTAAAAGCTGCTAGGGTTATACTTCCTGCATTAAACCTTGTAATTTCAAAAGCTCGAGAGGTGTTCTCAGGCGAACCATCGATGACCCTTAAAGTAAATCTATAGCCCTAAAGCTTTTTTGGAATCAATTTAACTTTACAATCGATCTAAGATCATGATGTTTCATGTTTCAGGTAGCACCATTTTTACTACTTGGATCTGATTACGGGCATATTGTAACATTGAAGAGACTTTGTGCACTTGGTAAGATCATTTTGTAGATGAATTTTGATTCATGTATCAATCGTGAAACAATGAAACTTACGTTTTGTGTTTGCGTCTTTTTAGGGTTCTTCATTGGGTTTACTGGCCCAAAACTGTACTCATTGTACTCGATTCAAATACACAAGAAAAGTGAATGCGTGAAAGGGTGGATACTGGAAGCATGGGGAGGTTGTTCTCATAAGAAAATAGTTGCAGGATCAGTTGTTACAGTGTTTTTGGAATCTGACTTCGATCAAAACACGCATTTTTGCAGGTAATTTTGTTGAATCATCTTATTAATGATTTTTGTTTGAGTTTCAAATCGAAGTTAATGGCTTATGCCATTGATGGGGGTGTTTGTGTGCAGCATTTATATGTGTAGTGATCTTTAGACGCTACAGACAACAGTTGCCATGGAAGGAGGAAGGTCAACAACAGCCAGAGAAGACGTTGACTTTGGTTGAAACTAAGAAAGTTGAATAGAGATTTGGATTACATGTAAAATAACATATATATATTTCTATATAATAAAATGAATCGTTTTATGGCTTTAATTTCAATCTTTTCATGTTTTATGTTGACAATTCTGTAGTGTATAATTGGAACTATAAACAAGGTCAAATTCATCTTTCCAATGTAAGTTCTTGGGATATTAAACTCCATTTTTTCTTTTTTTTGTTCTTAACATTTATTTTTAGGTTTGATTTTGGGATTTAGTGGAACTCAATTCATGTGATTATGATAATCGTGTTATATTCACATTCAAACTACATAAACATTTATTAAAAACAGAAAGTACATTGATATTAATAAAACATAAAGTACCATGATTACACAAAATGATCATTTTTTGACAAAGTCTTTAATTACACAAAATGTGCAAAATAAAAAGAACATCCACAAGAGAAAACGAAAAGAAGTTTCAATGAAAATTTCAACCTTAATTTGAGGTTTTGATGTAACTAAGAATAACAAACAGCATACTAAGCATAATTAGCATCCTATTAAGACTCATTTGACATTAATGATTTCGTATACCAGAAGCATAATTTGCACCAATCTAGTTCACATTTCTTTGCTTTCTTCTTATGAACCTATAACAAGTCAAAGTAGCAGACAAGTGTTAGATTTATAAAAGAAAATATCAAATTCAGTTGTCAATTTCCTTTCACTTTTATTACTGTGTTTTCAATTTACAGTTGCAACAAAAATGAAACAGAATGCCATAACGCAACTACGAGTCCATGAATCCAAAAATCTTGAAATAAAAGCTGAAATCATATCATCACTTATAAGAAAATTTACAGATTACATGCATTGATAAAATTGTACCCCTAATGAACATTTTATCATCAAATTTCAATTCATTTGAATGAGTAAAGATAAAATTAGAAAGGGTGCGATTTGATTTACCTTCAGGAATCCAACCGGAAGTCCGGCGAGAGAGAGTGAGCATGGAAGTCATCAAAGCCGAAGCAGTAACTCCATGAAAAGGTTGCACCGTTTCCAAACAGACGCTCAATTCAGCTGGGCAACTTCAAATTTACCAAGAAATCCATTAAGCAATGAAAATGTTTGTAATGCGTATGTGTATACATATGTGCTTATACCTGAAGATGCGATGAGACAGAGGTTTTGTGGTTTGAATGCGAAAGGGGGAGGTTTTCGCGCCGGATGAGAATCGACTGGCGGCGGCGTTACGGGCAGAAGTTGACCGTATAAACAACCTAGCAGCGGCAGCACCGGCCATTTGATGCTTGTAACTTGATCGGCGGAGATTGGGGATCAGACCCTTTGCATCAACAGTATACTATTTATTATTGACTCTTAAACCCCTACACTATGACCATATGTCCATATACCATGACTTCTTTGTAAGTCAAAGTTCATACATGGATTTCAAAAAATAAATAATAATAATAATAACAATAATAATAATAATAATTAGCCCTTAATGTTAACAAAATTTTGGCACCAAAGACTATATAAAAATTTGGAGTTTTAATAATACAAAGTTATATCAATCTTTACAAATACACAAAAGAATTCATCGTTTAAATTTGGATTTTCGAAGTTGAAGTTGGAGTTAATCTTATGGATCTCGACTTTATTATTCCTCACACAAAGTAGAAAGGACCTAATTTATGACATTCTTCCTTATGCAACCTCTCATTTTAGCTTCCTTTAGTTAAAGTTTGATCATTAGTAACTTTGCTATAATCATCAACAAAATTTGTCAAATTAGCAATCACTCTTAAACTAGTTTCCATCCCGAAAATTCTTTGATTCATCTTAACTAGCCTTTCCTCCATCTCTATATCACCCATCACCTTCTCTAAGCTTCTATGAACATTTTCTTCACCAAAATCGCTCATTCTAATCCCAGTTCGCCAAATCTTTACAATGTAGTCACAATTCACAAATTGGTCTCCTGCAATCGGATAACACAATAATCTCACCTTGCTTTGTATAGCCTCTATAGTCGAGTTCCACCCACAATGTGTTAGATAACACCCAACTCCTTTATGTCGTAGCACTTCACTTTGTGGGGCCCAAGAAACCACTCTTCCTCGATTCCACATTCGCTCCACATAGTTTTTTGGGAGTCCTTCGCGCCATTTTGAACCTAAAACCCAAATGAATGGATGTTTGGATGATTCCAAAGCTATAGCTAGGTTTCTCACCTTTGCTTTACCAATCGGGCTAACCCATGTTCCAAAGGAGATGTAGACAACAGAGCGATCACTTTGTTGGTCTAACCAATCCAAACAACTCATATCTTCTTCTGAAAAATGAGGGTTTCCATAACGGGTATGTTGTGTCAATGGTCCAATTGGAGTGATATTTGGGTATTTTATTGATTGATCTTGTAAGTTAGTATCAATGTGGTGTTCCTCGGGGAAGCTGTTTACAAGGATTTGCGAAAGCGTTTTTGTTCTAGCCAATGTTCTTGTCCAAAACTTGAATCTAGATTTTCTTGAAATTAGATTTCCAATAAGCCATGGTAAATCTTGTGTGCCTAAAGGAGGTTGATCATATCCCAAGTATATCGGACCTTCATTTTGTGGAATGCCTACATGTTTTTTAACACAATTTGTCATATATTGAAATAAAGCATGCATGATTTATATCATAAGTGTTGATAAAAAGAAGTAGAGTAATTTAGAAGAATTTATATGTCAGCAGTTGATGTTGAAGTCTCTCAAACTTTACTATTATTCTATTTAACTTGTTGATACCTACACAAATTTTACTTTCAACTTTGTTTTCAAAAGTCTCTAAGCTAAATCATAAACTACTAATATTCTTGTTTATAAAATATTTGATTCTCAAATATAAACTAAATACAGTAATAATATGCATGTTAAATAAAAGTTTTTGTCAATGACATGTATGTACAATCAAAAGTATATGAATTACAATGTTTTCTATTAACTTTCATCGACTTACATATAAATCGTCAATAACAACTACAAGATAATAAAAAAAATTCATAACTTTATTATTTTCCATGTATTTTTCTCACAAAATGTTAATATATATTAACTAATGTGATTAAAAATGAACATGATGAAATTTGATTATAAATATATGTATGCAAATCTAAATTTTGTTAAAATGTATAATTTATAAAATTATAAAAGTGAAGGGTTTTCTAATCTCTTTGGAATGTACATTGCTTTAAATAAATGTTACCAGTTTCCGAGATGATTCCCAGAGATAGCATTTCCGGGATAGCAGCAATCAGCTGGTAAGCAGCAAACATAACCGGCCAATATCCGACCACCGGAACACCACAATCGCCGCCAACTTTCAATGCCCATGACGCCAATAAATCCACAATCATGAATGCAACTCCGCCACCATCTCCACCATTAAGTTCACGAACCAAACCTTCCAAATGCTCCGGCATGTTGTTCTCCATTGCAAACTCAATGGAGAAGAAATCACGTGGTGTCTCCTCCTCCAAACCGTCGGGGATGGACTTGCAGGTGATGCCGGCGTTTTTGTGAGCAATGGTGCTGTGAATGAACTCCGGTGTTACAACCACCGGAGAAAAGCCATGGCGGCTCAAGGCGGAGGCCAGGTTAAGAATGGGTGTCACATGGCCTTGTGCTGGATAGGGCACCATGATGACTGTAGGCTTCTTCATGAAAACGTCCTGGTTATTGATTTTCATCGATCCTCTTGAACGAATTTATATAAATGAGGAAGAGGAGGACTCTTGTTTGTGAACAATGTTAAACGAGTTCGTAAAGTAATGTTATGTTAATGGTTGTTTGACGAGTTCAAGCCGTAAATCTTAATAGTATTACAATATTCCGAACATGCATGGTAAAGACTAGTTTAACGATACTAGTTGATCGGTTTTAATTTGTCGCATATACTAAGCTTGGGGTAACACATTAAATAGTAGTAATTGAATCCCACGTGATACGAATGTGGATATTAAATGTTAATAAGCAAATACTCTGCGGTGTGAAGTGAAACACGATGCCTGCTAACCACTTTAGCCAAACTTTTTATTTTTATTTGGAGTTTGGTAATATTTGAATGAACCACACTGGAAATTGAGTCAATTCTGGTGTGCAGATGCATATGGGCACCAGAGTAATCATATTTTATATTTAAATTGGTTGATGCAATCATGCAGTTAATAGCAAATTTGATGTTGTATAGTTATAGAAAGCTTATTATGGAAATACTATATAAAGCCCAATATTTACTAGTTTGGTCTAAAGACAAAAATAACATAGAAACTAGTTACAATTTTGGAAAATCCCCAAAAAATGATCAAGTGTCCTAATGCGAAATTGGGGACAACTGTGAAATTACTTTTCGACCACTTTGTTGTCCTAATTCGGTTTTGCATTGGAAACGTGAAATTACCAATTTTAATGCATATTTGGGAGAAGTGATCTATAAGATCATCTTTATAGCTTATGTATGGTGTTATAAAGCCCGATTAATGGCAAAGGATTTCTTGAAACCGAGGGTCCTTTTTTTACCAAATCATAAAATTATGTGGTTAGGGAGGTTGTTAATGTTACAGTATGCCAAAGTGGTTTGGAAAACTTATATGTGCGCATAAAAGTACAACTTTTGCTTTATGTTCTGTAAATCTTAGGTTATCTTTGTTTTTTTTGTGGAAATGGCCTACACATATGTAGCCCTTTAATTATTGGTTAACAATTAAAAATCTTCCTTATATTGAGTTATATAATATATGTAATATACTTACAGTATTATATGGGTTTGAGATTCCTTTCTCTTTTTTTTTTTTCAACTTTGACATCTTCTCCAATCCATCCTCAAATTTTTTTTTTCCAGATATCTTCCAACCCAACCTCATTTCAATCTTATTTAGAAGATATAAATATTATTACTACAACTACGGAGAAACACTATTTATTTATCTTAAAACGGAGTTGAAGTTTCAATCGTCGGTTTTAGTTCATATCTTTTAATTTTATATATTTATAGATTATTTCTATCTATTAATTGTAATTTAAATGTAATATTTTATACTTTATATATTAAATTATATTAATTAATCAGAAATGTAAACTTTAATATTTATGTATCAAATTCATATAAAAAATTCAATACTTACTAAAAATTTGAAACACGGTAAAATAATTTATAAACTTTATAATTGAATAAGGCATTTTTGTATATAGTTCATGTCAATCAAGAAAAAAATAAGTCATTTTCATATATTTCGGTCTGATTCGGTTTTACTAACATTTACGGGTCTGATTCGGTTCTTACCCAAAAACTACAAATTGAAAAACAATGGAATCAGAAACCAGCCCAATTATAGGTACTTCCGTTTTAGTTCGGGGCCGGTTTTGGTTTTTTCCGATCGAGTCTATGAAATGTCTTAGTTGATCATTTATGGATAATTTATTCCAACATAAATATATGTAGTAGTTTTCTTAAATGTATGTGTAATATTTCTAAAAGATGTATATATAATATTTATCTATAAATGTATTATAAATATAATCTTATTTATTTAACAATTATTATTAATAAATTAATAATTAATTCAAATTCATTATATATAACATTTTATTTTGTTATAACTTTATTAATTCAAATTCATTATATATAACATTTTATAGAATATATACTTGTTAAAATCCAATTCGTAGAAGGGATTTATTTGATAATATATGTAAGTTATAAAAAGAGAATATATATATATATATATATATATATATATATATATATATATATATATATATATATATATATATATATATATATATATATATAAAAGAAATATATTTTTAGAGTAAAATATTGGACTAAGAATAAAATGGAGATGAGTTAAAAATATAAAGGAATTAACATTATAATTATTTATGAACCGTTTGAACCCTTTTTTTTTTTTTTTTTGTAGATGTTAATAATAGTTTTAAATATGTTTGCGTCTCTTAGTTCATTGATTGTTTTGGTTATGAATTTTTTAGGTTACCTAATCTATGTACAACTTGATGGATGGTTAATGGTTTAGTTGTTGGGATTTATTTTACGTACTTTAATTTCTTACAAACTTTTATTTCATAGTATATAGTATATATTTGGGGAGCAACCACATTATTTTAAGTTATATATATATATATATATATATATATATATATATATATATATATATATATATATATATATATATAACTTTGACTGTGGACTTTTTTTTATTATTGACCGTTGATTTTTATCAATTTAACTTTGGGTGCTGCTAATAAGACACCCCTTAAGCATCCTATAATCATTTTTATAAAAAAATCAACCTATAATCAACTTCTTGTAATCATCTTTTTCGGAAAACAATGCAATTTCAACCAATAAAAATATTTCAAACATTAATTAGGGTTGTCTAAATGGTAAAATAGGATGTCTTATTAGCCAACCCCTTTAACTTTGTGTCCAACTTGAAGGACTTGGGTTATTGATTAAGGAAGTATCTTTGTTTGGTGCTAGCTGGTTCACCGGTTCACCCCTTCTCGGGAGCGGTCGGCGCAAGGAGTGAGGGTGTTGATGTATTCTATCAAGCATTGTCAAACTGAAGTGTATAAAACATTAGCCAAATATAAAAAATAAATATATAAAAGACTAAAAATAAAATTATACAAAATTGATTTTTTCTGTGCGTCTGCACTTTTAAAAATATTCTGCAATGAAGTTATAAGTCATTTGTTATTAAATTGTGAAAAATAGAATATGTTATCTTGAAACATGAATAATCTATTCTTTTATTTCAAACAACTGAGGTAATACTCACTGATTACTGAATCGGCATATATGAAGGGAGAAATTTTGTTGTGTTTAGAAAAATGATATTGTGAAAAGGAATAGCAGTTTTTTTTATAAATTTTTTTTTGGCATTCACCTACTTATTGTGAACACTTGTTTAAAGGTTTAAACACACGTGTTCTAATTGATTCCATTAAGTCTGTCCTCTATTGTGCAATTATTGATCCATTTAAAAAAAAAAAGGGGGGGGGGGGGGGGGGGGGGGGGGGGGGCTTTGATTGTATTAAAGAATATAAATACCCATTTAAATATTTAAATATGTTGTTTGTTGTAAATAGTTGGACGTTGAATAAACTTCTACTAATAAATAAAGATAAAAATATTATTTTACAATAACAAAACATATTTTATATGGAGTATCTAATAATTAGTGAAACGGGTTTTTTATTTTTATAACATCAAAAAGAGTCATCTACTAAAATCACGATCGTAAAAGTCGTTTGACGGTATTAAATCGATCGAATAGCAACTAAATATCAGTTGACTAAAAGTTGGTTTAGTCAGCAACAGTAAATTGTAAACTGTTTAATACAAAAAAAAAAAAAAAAAAAAAAAAAAAAAAAAAAACAACCTTATGATATAACAAAGTAGTTAATACGACTAATATCATAACAAAGTAATCAATACGATTAATTCCATAACAAATATGTTAATATCACCGATATAAATTAATGTTTCTTCAAATAGTTATTTATTGAGATACAATTTTTTCTTGATTTTTAAAATCCGTCGGCTTAGACAACCCATATTGTTGGTCTTATGTCATCTACGAATTAATCTGAGATTAGTCGTGATTTTAACTACACTGATCAAACTAATATAAATTTATATCACACAAAAAATATGAAACTTCAAAGTATAGTTACAATAAAATAAAAAAATAACTAGTTTTAGAAAAAAAAAAAAAAAAACAATTTCACTAAAATCAGGTTTTTTAAAGAATGTTGATGTCATGGTTGTTAAAATCTCGATCTTGATCTTAAGATCTTACGATTTTAAGATCCTACAAACCAAAAACGATCTTGTCTCACTAAGATATATCTGAAACAAGATCTATAGTGGGATCTTAGCATCCAGACAATGATCTTAAGATCTTGACACGATCCGATCACACATCTTTAGTTTTAGTATATAGTTACGCCTCAAAATTTCTTCTATTCAACTTGAAATCGAGCATAACAAGTTGGAAACTCCTCATAGATCATCATAACTTCATCTCAAATTAGACAAGGTACACTCATGATATTATGTTTGTGATCTTCAGTCTTGAGTTGTAGATCATAATCATTTTGTTTCATTTTGTAATTAAGAAGTTTTCTTACTAATTTTTATGGTTGCAACAATAAAAATTATGATTCGTGTTTAGAAAGTTAAGTTGACTCCATAATGACATCTAGTTGACATCAAGTTATAATGTATACTACACAACCAAAACTTTACGAGCAGAACTTGAATATAAGTTTATTTTGGTAGGATCTTCTGATCACGATCCAATCTTACGATTACGACCTTGCAAAACATAAAACAATATTGGATAAGATCGTGATCTTCACAACATTGATGTTGATGAAACTTAGCTAATCATTTATTATTACTACAAAATGTTCCATCGTACTGACACATCAAAAGAATTTATAACATTTACCATATGTTTTTATTTAGAGAAAACTAAATGGATTTGAAAAAAATCACCAAAGTTTATTATATAAATGGTTCTATTTTAGGTGTTTTTATTCGGTTTAACCGGTTTATTTTGACCGGTTCAACCGTTTTTTTTTAAACCGACCGGTTCAGAAATTAATATAAAACCGATAATAGTTGAACCGCTCCCTCTCCCGGTTCTCGGTGCAACCGGTT